AGGGGTTTCTATCACCTTTTGGGTCATCAATGACGTCATTAGCCGAAGACATTCTTATTATATTATATTATTCAAACGAAACTTTGGAAATCAAAATACACTAGTCGTAGTAGCAGTCAACTATAGAATAAGATTGAACTAGTGATGACATTGTCAATACATAATGATGAAGTCAGACATGCAAGGTGGAGAAAATTGTACCCCATTAATTCTAATTGTTGACCTCGAAAAATGACTTCGACACGTGATCAACAGAATGAAGCTCCACATATGTTCCTCCCTACGCACGAAAGCACACTATCAGTCACTCGTGACCTTTTCCGGTGGGGGTGGAAGAGGCCGCGAGTACTATGATGGTCAAGTTAGTGTTTCAGTCAACTGGAAAGTGGTGTTCGAGGATGAAGTAGTCCCCGGGATGTGGTTGAGAGTGTGTATAAATATATAGAAGGGCTCCTTAGAGTAAAGATTATAATGCAAAACGTGAATGGGAACCCCTTACTCTTACTAGTGTATGGGCATTTGTACTAGAAAAAGGAAGAGGTGAACCGTTGGATGAAAGGACTCGTGGCTTTAGATCCCAGATGAGTCAACCTCTCATAGATGTCAATCTATCAATCAATAGGTTGGCGGATATTAAATGATTTCTGACATATGAGCTAAGTTGATCATTTGTAGTCTACTTCACGTCTCATCAATCAATCAAGAACTTGACACGATGCTATACTAGAAATGTTTTTCTAATACGAATAATAATGATTGATAACCTTTTTCATCAAGCGTGTTGGATTTTATTCAAACTTGTTAAATAAAGGAATTCTATTATGAAAAGGAAAATAGAATTCTTTTGACAACAAAAGGGAAAAAGAAAATATTAAGGCCCGTTTGATAAGCCATTTTTTTTTTCATAGAATTTGGAAAAAAAAAAATCCATTTTTTTGCTTTTAGCTTGTTTGATAGGCAATATTTTCTAGATAAAATATTTTCCCACCCCCACACGCCCCTTTTCCTTGATTTGAGGGAAAGCATTTTCCCACCATGCTTTCCCACCATTTTGGTGGGAAAATGCAATTCCACGTTTCAGGGTTTTTTTTTTTTAATTTTTAAATGGAAACAAATTTTATAACCAATTATGTATTTAAAAAAATCAATTTAATGGACAATTTTCATATGAAACAAAGCCAAACTAACACTAAACTTTGATAAAAAATAATTTTTTAGGAATTTTTTTTT